TGTGTGTGTGTGTGTGTGTGTGTGTGTGTGTGTGTGTGTGTGTGTGTTTTACAGGTAAACTGCTGCAGGTGAACACAGGAGCCAAAGAGCAACTTTTCTTCGAAGCCCCGAGAGGAAGACAACAAACCATCAAAAACTCGGAGGTGTGTGTGTTTGTGTGTGTTTGTGTGTGTGTGTGTGTCAGAGTGTGTGTGTGTGTGTGTGTGTGTGTGTTGCCTCGGAGGTCTATTTTTTGCTGAGTTAGGATCTTTATCACAATCTTCAAGCTAAGCCTTTCCTCAGTATGTCTGCAGAACATCCCAGTTTGTTTGATATGACAGATGAATGCTGGGGTAAAAAAAAACAAGGCTGGATTAAATATATAATGTGCCAACTAAACATAATGTACCAACTAAACATAATGTACCAACTAAACATTTAATTTAAGAAATACAAAAACAGAATCATGCTATTTTCAGAACTTTGTTGTTCTGGGTTACTTATCTAAGTGTTATTGTCCTATTTATAATCTCACTGTTGATGTGTGATGTGTGTATTATGTTACTGTGTGTGTGTGTGTGTAGCTGGAGCGAGTCGAGTGGTCCAGCTGGACGTGTGTTCTGGGTTCGAGCTGTGACGGAATCTGGCCGACGCACAGCGACATCACCGACATCAACGCCGCATCGCTCACCAGAGACAGAACGCTGCTCGCCACCGGAGACGACTTCGGCTTCCTGAAACTGTTCGGCTACCCTGTTCGGGTACGTGAGATGAAGTCACTGGTTGCTCTTTACATGTGAACATTTACCTCAGATTAACAGGACATGAACATGTGATAGACATGAGATAAACATGGGTGTTTTTGAGTAAATATTTTATCTAAAGCCGACTGGTTTCAGCTCAGTGATAAAAAAACTTCCAGACATTATTTTAATATAATTAGAGAATTTATTAACCCAAAGAAAACTTTCTTTCTTCACTGCCTTATGTTGCCTCTCTTCTTTTATCTCCTTTCCTTATTTCTTTCTTTGCTCTATTGTTGCATTCCCCTTTCTCTCTAAATTTTGAATGTAGGACTTGTATTTCTACTGAAGTATTTTTTCATTGTCGTCATCAGTATTTTTGTTCTCCTCCCTACAGGGTCAGTACGCTCGCTTTAAGCGTTACGTGGGCCACAGCGCTCAGGTGACAAACGTCCGCTGGGCTCAGGACGACTCGGCGCTGCTGACGGTTGGCGGGGCCGACACCGCCCTGATGATCTGGGCGAGGGAGCGAGGAGGCGGGGTCAATGTCGAGGGGGAGGGGCCTTTGTGTTGCGACACCCGACCCACCGTGGACAGCGAGGAGTCGGACGATGACATCGAAGAGGACGGAGGTGGGTGTGTCCGTATTTTTGTCAAGAAGCAATTCTTCACTTTCCTAAAATAAGTACCCTAAAACAACATCTGCAGTTTGCTGATTAGCCGTGGTGTTATGACTTTGAGACAGTGGACAGACACAAAGGTGCACGCAATCACTCACAGACCAACGACCACGACCGAGCGCAAGATCCTCCTTGCAGAGATAATAATAATCCAAGCCTAGCACGACCTTTGCGCAACTAAACTCAAATGTATCTGTGTGTGTGTTTGTATCTGTGTGTGTGTGTTTGTATCTGTGTGTGTGTGTGTGTTCGTGCGTGCGAAGGCTACGACAGTGACGTTGCCCGAGAGAAAACGGTGGATTACACCACTAAGATGTACGCCGTCAGCATCAGAGAGATGAGAGGAACCAAACCTCACCACCAGCTGAAGGAGGTGTCTGCTGAGGAGAGGTATACACACACACACACACACACACACACACACACACACGCACGCACACACATTTTAACAAGGGGCCGAGACAATGGAGTGATGGAACTTTACTGTCTGCTGGGAAAAACAGAGAAGTGAAAGGACTGAAATGAATTTCTGAGTAGACTAAATAAACTACATTTCTATTAGAGAAGCAGAGGTGGAAGAAGTACTCAGATCTTGTTCTGTATATTCTTGCCTGCTGCAGTTTAAGCTTTAAAATACTCCATTTACACTTAAAAGCTTTAGAAACAGTTTTACATTCTGCTGTTGTTGACATTCAGCGTGATGTTTTTTGAATTTACAACACTGAGATTGTTTGTACAGTCTGACATTTCCGGCAAACTCTTGATTGACTATTCATCCATTCATGTTATCCTTGGTGTGTGTCATCAGTGGTCACTGTGTGTGTGTGTGTTTGTTTGTGTGTGTGTAGTACCGTACCCCTACATAGTTGTATTTGTGTGTGTTTGTACCTGTGTGTTTAAATTTTGCATCTCAAGCATGCACAGTTTCTGCATGATCGATTAGTGTTCTTTGGTCCCTTCATGGAACAAACTTTTTGGCTCAGTTTGTCTGTTTCCACATTGCACACGCTAACGGATTATTTTAATTTCAGTGTTTTCAGTGAGTTTCTGTCTTCAAAACGCTCATCAATAAAGGGCATTGACAAACACTGAAATTAAATAAAGACTGACTAATCGTGCACGACAAGATTAACAACCAAATTCTGAAACAAATTTTTAAAGTGAAAGAATGAATCACCAATCCTTAAATGTAAACTAAACGCACTTCTTCCTTGTTGCGGTAGTGACGAAGAGTGCCTTACCGCCAAGATGTGCTTTAGTAAAAAAAAAAGGAAGGAAATTCTAATTGTTTTTGTAAATTTGCAGCAGTACAGACACAAAAGTCAGCCTTTTCCACTACAGGAACTTAAGGACCTGTAACTTCAGGTGCATTCAACAGCTGGTTTGCGTCATGCATCATGTGTTTAGGAAGTTTAATTCTTCCATATACAGGTCTGACTCAGAATACCCGCCTCGTAAAATGTAATTGTTTGCACAGTGTTGAGGGGGTACGTTGAAAGTTACAAAAAAGCTCAGAAAGTGTTTTTTCCTGTGTCCAGGTACACAAAGTACCCTTGTGTGTTTCTAACAGAAAGATTTTTGCTTTTGACCCTTTGTGCTACCCTTACTTCCTGAGTGTTGCTCTCTGGCCTTGTTTGTAGAAACTTTTAATATCTGTGTTGTGTTTTAACTTGCATTCCCCTGGAGGCAGGGCATTGTCAAGTAAGTATGAAACATACTGTGTAGATGATTTTTAGACGGGCTAAATGTCAATATGATAGGTCTGATTAGATTATATGTTCTGTGTTACAGCATCCGAATGTAGGGATGCCTTGAACAAACAGAAAAATAGCAATAATATACTGCTTGCATATAGTATTCTAGTGATTTGATCGCAGAAGATAAAAACTTGGAGTTTCTTTATCCCAAATCTTGATTTAATGATCTTGATTAGCATTCTCTGCCTTTCATTTCATTCCCATATGAAATGTAATGGAGGTTTGGTTTATGACCGGCGCCAACATCTGCTGGTTCCGTTGGCGTCCATTCAACTTAAATATATATAGATACAAATAAAACAAAGCACTACACAAACAATAAAGCAACAGGTTTGGCCTAAGTGATGGCAAATAGAACACAGGTCTAGAAAAAGTAAAGAAGTTTAAGTTTATTGTTGTGGATATTTTAAAGGAAGAGTGTGTGAGATTTAATCCCTCTCGTCTGGTAAAGGTATCTTTAAGATTTTATTACTACAAGGAGCTACTCTTATCAATACTCTGTTCTTTTCTATGACTAAACTATTTATTTTAAAAACACATATAGTATTTTAAAAAATGAATAAATTCAGAACAGTATTAGAAGTTATTTGTAATTTAGATATAACCAAATATTGTTACTAGAGTTTACAAGAGCAAAGTCACTTTATTAAATTAGTAATATCTCACTGGAAACAAATCTAAAATGTCAATATAATATAAAAATTACTCTTTTCGATCAAAGTAATCCAGCTCGTCCACACCTAACTAACTGTCAACATTATACTTCCCGAAGTAAAGCATCATGGGAACAGTGGTTCCTAAACTTAGAGCAGGATATGGTTGTGTGAAGGGGGGCTCACAGTGTCAGACTTTGAAAAATCTTGCACTAAATCACCTGTAAAAAGATCTGACCCAGGACTAAAAACTGACTCGCAGTGCCTGTGCATGTCAGCCTGCTAACACAATTAGCAACACTAGCATGTTAGCCTAAAAATAAAAGCCAGTATGAGTAGCATGGTAGCATTTTGTTAGCATGTAGCTATAGCACCCAGCTAGTCACATTATAGTTTCTCTGAGGCATGAGGCCTTTTTGTGTGTTTGAGTGAGTGTTGTTGTTGTGTTTGTTTGTGAAGAGGTGTGTGTGTGTGTGTGTGTGTGT